GGGTGAGGGCGTGTGGGCGCGAGAGCGAATCTGGCTCTGTTTTAATTAATTCTTCGGCGAGATTCTGGGACAAAGGAAACTGGTTTGACAAGATTTTCTCTGTGTTTTCTTGAGTCTGTATGTGGGGAGCGATACGACCTCTGTTGTTTGTGCGAGCGGCAGCTGAGACTTTCTCCGCTGTGAGGTGAGCGGCGGCGCTCGTTCAGAAGACTTGGACTCTTTTTCTCCACGGCGGGATGACGAGTCGGTTTGGGTTGATGCTGGTCGATCTGGGTGTCGCTCGTTGTCGCTCGGTGTCGCACGGTGGCGCACGGTGGCGCACGTTCAGCGCAAAGTGGTGCACGGTGGCGCACGGTGGCGCAAGGTGGCGCAAGTTGGCGCTCGTTCAGCGATCTCCGCCTTTCCTGCGGGTTGTTCGCTGGTCGTCACTCTGACGAGGAGCGATGCTTCGTTCGTGGCAGGGTGGACGTTGGCGTCTTTGTTGGCTTCACTCGCAGCTCTGCGACTCAGGGTAGCGATTCTTCTCAGGTGGTGCAGACCTCGGCTTGTAGCTACGCGTCGCTACTCCGCGACCCTCGTCATTCTGAATGACAGGAGCTTCTTCGTTGGCGGCGACGAGGAGAGATGGTTGTCGCCCTGGAGAACTCTGGTGGGGCCTTAGCCCGGAGACGAGATGAGATGTAGGCCGGAGCTCGTGAAGATCTGTGGTGGAGCCGAAGATGGGCTCGTAGCCCGGATGATATGTGTGTTGGAGCCGAAGCCCGGACGATATCTGTGATGGGGGCCAGAGCCCCTGACGATCTCTGTGATGGGGGCCAGAGCCCCTGACGATCTGTGATGGAGGCCAGAGCCCCTGTCAATCTGTGATGGAGGCCAGAGCCCCTGTCGAACTGTGATGGAGGCCAGAGCCCCTGTCGATCTGTGTTGTATGGATTTTCCTTCGGTTTATATCGGAAACTTCCACTCGGCTTCCCGAGTTGTTCAAAGGCTGTGTCATAAAACCTTCCTGTGGGCTGAACCATCTGCGTCCGTGTGTGTGTCCGTCCGTGTGTTTCGCGTGCGTGTTGTCGTGTTCGCGTGCGTGTTTGTCCGTGTTGTGGGGAGACAAAGGCGGTTGTTTCCACGGTGGGAGCACCCGGCGCATGCGCTTATTTATTCGAAGACGTGTTAATTTCCTTTGAGCCATTGCCCCCTTTATGGGTGTCATTTCCTAGCTTGGTGCCTGTGTGTGGAGATCCTCTCGGAAAGACAAAGGCGGCCGTGTTGCTCGCTTCCCATGGGTGTTGTGTTTGGTTAATTTTGAGAGCCTTCTCCGCCCTTGATTCCTCTTCTACTTTAATTCCGTACTTATTATTTGACTTCTTGTGATTATTTGATCTGATATCCCGGCTAGGAATTTTGTTTTGGAGCGAAATCGATGCCATAATTATTCTTTGATGCTTCGGCCCGGCCGTGTAGATATTCTTTAAAGGTAAATAATGTCAGTATTTATTAACAATGATGGGTCGCGATTCTGGTTCAGATTGTCGTCTGGTTTTCAATTGGAGTGAGGATGGATACTGTTTGCTTAATCTTTATGGTTAAGTTGGTAACTTGTGTATTTAACATGGTTCAAAGACCCATCTGTGCTTTTTGTCGTCGATGCTGTTTCTTTGTTAAGAATATAATTATCTCTTCCTCCGTGTCTCCTGGTTCTGCAACCCCCCGCCTGCAATTCCCCCCCTCCCTTGTTCCTCTTGTGTGAATTTAGGGGAGTTTTTTTTTTATTACCTTATTGCCCCCCCCTTTCATGTCCTCTCTCCTTTGAAATGAGGTATGCGCGCATCTGTGGAAGTGTGGGGGCCTCTGTGGAAGTGTGGGGGCGTGTTCGTTCCCACGTGGCCGCGTCTATTAAAAAAAAACGATATTATCTATGTTGGCAGAATAATTCTTAAAAAAAAAATAATATTAAAAAAAAATAAAAAGGGGGTACATACACAACAGCGCTCACAAAAGAACAGAGAGATCTGTCCTGGTTGGCGGTGTGGGATAGATTGGAGACGAGGGGCTTCATGTTTTCTCGCCGAATGGCACGTTCGCCCAAATGCCCGAGGGGCTGCAACACAGATGAGGATGCGGTGCACGTCATGGTGAGGTGTCCCTTCGCACAGGAGGTGTGGAGACTGAGCAGTCCGCTGTTGTCCTGGTTTTACCCGTCGCAGGTGATAAGTCGGGACATTATGTGGGGAGTCTTAAGGGAGGTGCGGGGAGATGACAGAGATCGAACGTGGGCCATAATAGGCGCGACAAAGGAGGCCTTGTGGGGAGCTCGCAGAAGAGAGTTGGATGGGTCTCCTATATCACCGCTGGAGGTGTGCTACTGGGCGAGGAGGTTGCTAGAAAGGGTGATGGAAGTAGACCGGGTTAGGCTGGGATACAAGGCCGCAGGTGTGAAGTGGAAGTGGCCCCTACCCGGGGTGGGGTAGCGAGGGGACCGGTGGGTATAGGGAAGGGATAGTGAAGGATGGCCACGCACATTTTAGCCGGCCTGCTAAGTCGTGTGGGCGAGGAATGTACGTGTTCGATCGGGGGAAGGCGATGTGATGGAGCAGCGCATGGGTATTTGGTGATGATGAATGTGAATAAGGGGAACGGGGCGGTGTGCGTTATGGCGGCGAGCTTTTTTTGTTGTTGCATTGTATGTGGGTGGAGCCCGCGGATGTGATGGAGACTCGAAGGGGCCAACCGGGGCGCCCGGGAAGGAGTGGTTTTCAGTGCTCTCTTTGGTTTTCCTTGTACCCGCTGAGAAGTTAATAAAAACCTTTAAATCGCAATTACCAGCAAAACGTCGTACTCAAATTGTAAATGTTGTGGCTTCAACACACCGGTGGGCTAAAGCAGTGAACTATTTGTCTTTTGTTAACGTGACACTTTTTTACTGATTGGCCGTGTCGGGTGGTGGAGGGTTACGACACATTTATAAATAACGCGATCTAAACCCAAAAACGTTGATTATGAATAACATTGGTCGCGAAAGCCTACGTGTTAAACTATTATAATACAGTATGTAATTTAATGTTGGGTTTGTCTATGGCAGTATATAGTACGGGGTATACCCGTGTGATGTAAGAGAATAAAGTTTAGCTGGACGCATATTATATTTTTTGCGACGTAGAATTGTAATGTATTACTTACTGTTAGTAGCTCAGCTTATTGAAGAGTATATTTAGTATACTGATGATACTATGTAGTTTATACTTTAGTTGTTTACGTGTTGGTTTAGTAACTGCAGATACATACTATTACCATTCCTTCTCTTTATTAATGCTACCCCTACCCCCTCCCTTTGATGCTGCTAATCCTGCATAATGCACGGGCATAATGACTTTAAACCCCTCGCCAAACCTCCTACGCATTTCACAAGTAGTACTAATCGCATATCTGCATTTCCCATAAGTATGCTAAATTCCTCTTGATATGCAAATTATTTTGTCAAGGCGCTCTCCCCCCCTCCATCCCAGCTTAAAAAAGACGCTCCAAGCCTGAGGTTGTCATTCAGACTCTGTCTTCTTGACAGACCTGTTCTTCACCTGAGGACGGCTGCTTGCGTTGTGGCCGAAACGTCGTGAGAATTATTTTATTATGTTTTATTTTTATTTTTTTTATTTCCATTCTACGTGACTTTACCGAAAGAACCAAGAAGATGAATCCCTAAAGTCACGAAAGCTTTAAATCGAAATTTAACGGGAACTCGTGTTTCGTGGGTTCGTGGCCTTTGGGACCAGAGCACTGTGAAGGTGAAGTTGGTAGCAGAGCAGAATGGGGCCAAATGCCAGAAGGCAAAGGCTGCCACTAGCGCCACGCTGTGGCCAGGAGGAGATGGTGCTGTTGAACTCGCCAAGCAGATCCCCTGTTGCTGTGGAGGGGCGGAGTGCAGTGATAGCAAGCGTGGGGGAGTTCCGTGGTGTCGGGGTGACTTGGAGAGAAGTCGTGAGTGGGCCCGAGAGCTCCTCCAATGATCTCCAGACACAGACTATGACCAAGGGCGAGGGTAAATTCCCGAGTGTGCAATACCACAGTGAAGTGACAATGAGTTTGCCGATGGTGAGCACTTTTCCCCATATCTGAGACGCTATCCAAGACAGTTTTGGTACCCCGTGGTGGTTAAGAAAAACTTGGTTCAAAGTGTGCGCCCATGTGCGTGTGTGTATATTTGCCCTGTGTAATTTTGTATGCGTTTATTTGCCATATTCCACTTTTCTGCTCGCTGTATGTATGTTGAACTTCTTTTGCACCGTACGTAGCCAACCGTACTAATCGGAGGTGCAGAGAAGGACAACAAACTAAACAAAAAAACGGCACTACCCGGTGTAAACCCTAATGGTGGTCTGTCTACAAAATAAAGACAAGCCACAGCTCGACTTGTCACAGGTGACAGGGCCCGTGCCACTCCCACCATGGTACACCCAACACGTAACCTGGCCTGCCAAATCGCACAACAGTGACTCTGGCAACGAATCCAACCATCACACCTGGGAATGTTTTCAAGTTTAGAGACCGACATTTAACGTGGTTGGGGTAGAAGCAGGTAATGGCACGAGTTGTGTCCCTACAGGTGAGGATGTAAACCTGCCGGGATCCTCCTGCATAGCATTGAGAATCGTGAGGATTTCCTGGAGAGGTGATGGAAGCTTGAGGTGTAGCTGTATTTAGAAGTATATATGTATGGTCCAGAGTGCTTTGAAATAATTATAACATTGTACATTGCATGATAGTAGTTACAATAAAGAGTGGGGTTATTTAAAGTGGTGGTGTAGTTATGATTACAGGAGAACAGGCAGGAGTGGTTAAGGAGGGGTTGGGGTAGTGATAGTGATAGGGGCAGTGATAGTGATAGAGGTAAGAGTAGGGGTAGTGATAGGGGCAGGTCAATGAAGATAAATGTTTAATATTGATGCTGTGTTGCGCTTTCTTGCTAAGTGAGGCGTTTAATCCCGGAGCCTGTGAGCGAGAGCTCTCACCTGTGAGGTCGGCGCAGACCGCGTCACTGGTGTTGGTGGGAGGCTGCTTCACCACCTCACACCTGCACATACAGCAATGCATTCCAGGAGAAAGTAAATCCACTGAGGAAGCTGGCATCAATTAGTACAAATGTTCGCAGTGCTCCTCTAGATCATTTACTTTACATATCTGTACAGTGTCAACAGAGGGATGCTTCCATGGTCTAATCGCTGGGGCACCGGATTCGCAATCTATAGGTAACGGGTTTGATCTGAAGACGCGGCAATCAATGGTCAAGATTACTAAAGCGAACGATTTATGTCCACCCAGAATTATGAATGGGTATGGGACAGTTAGTGGGTAAGTTCATTATGTGTGGTGGGTTAAAGTGTGGGTAGCCCCACCTCTTTCACCAAGTGTGGCCCAGCAGGGTGGAGTAGGCCCAATGCCCTCTGCAAGGGATTTAGACGGACCCCTCGAGTAGGGCTCTTCTGCCTCTATTGCTGTAAGCAAGCACTTGCAGCGCTGCACCTTTACCTTTCTCTTACTGTCTAGACACAAGCTGCTACTTTAGTACCACGGCGTTGCCTTACCAAGCACGGCCAAAGCCAGTATTTCGATTCCCCACCTAGTATTTCGATGTGCCAGAGCAACGTGACTCGTGTTGAAGGCAACATCGCAGTCGTTGTAAAAGGCACATCGTGTGATGGGCACGTTCAGGATTTTAATTACCCTGCCCATATCACATGACTCACCGCGTGTGATTCCTGCAGGGGGACCCAGAGCCGTCGCTGAAGGAGCCGGGAGGACACGGGGCACACGAGTTGATGAAGTCCCTGTAGTGACCTGAGAAGTAGAAACAGGAACAACTCAACACAGTGGAGGTGATGTTGCACTCACAGCTGTAAGCCAATGGAAGAAATCGCACTTACTATAGGAGAGGTTTGTTACTCTACAGAAGAATCACTGTTGACTTTCACATCAAGTGGTACTCATTTTACCAATCACAAAGGATAATGGGCTGAGTCAACCCCCAACCAGGATTGAACTTGCAATCAGAATCTGTATTTAGACTTTAGGAATTCGATGAGCTATGCGGCTCTTTTCACAGATGTTCCATAGGATCAGGTCAGCAAGTTACAACAATAATCATCAACAAGCAAAGAACAAGAAACCGAACGTTTCTGGTTGCCAGATGCTTGTTGTAGCACTGAGCAAGGTGCTGGAGAGACTCACACTGCTTGGCCAACTCGTGTCTTGCAGGGCAGTGGGGGCAGCACCAGAACAGGGAGCCTTCTTTTGGGATCCGCACTTCGTAGGTGCCGTTCCAACAGCCGCACCTGTGCACAAGCACGCGTTACCTCAACCCGCGTTCACACGAGTCCAGTCCCCTAGAGTGAACCGAGCTAGAGAGCTGAGCGGTGACTGTCGCTGAGGTTGAACGTGCCGCTAAGGGAAAATATCAATACCATCCACATCTAATGTAATGTATTTATAGATATGGAGCGAGTTCACTTCAGGTGCCTGGCATAGTTTCTTAAACGGCGACAGAATGGAATGATTCGGATGGCAACAGGGTGTGAAAATTGAGGAATTACCGTGACAGAGGGTACTGAGGGATCACCAAAGGGTAGGGGAGGGCCAGGAAGGAGTGGAGGGGTGAGGAGATGGGCAATGGAGAAGAGGTATATTCTGAGAGCTATTTAACTACATATTTAAGATTCATTTCTAGAATAATGTATTTGGCAATTATCTGCAGTATGAACAAGTGGCAGTGAATAAAGATACCTTAGTGAACATAAGATCAGCAGCGTAAGCCTAATTTATAGTTCTCAAAGACGCACCTTGAATTATGGTTGGGTGTGCACCTCTCCTGTTCAACTTGCCGAAACCCTGGAAAAGATACGGACATAGGCAGGCTCACACATCCACACGAATGCATCAATGGAACAATGAAAACATTTAACACTCGAATATAAACGATGTTTGTTCTTTGTGTAGTGACATAGAATTAGCTATGTAGCAGCATAGCGCTGGCTGCTGGCATGGAAGGGGATCTGCAGCTTACAGCAGCCCTGATGGGAGCAGGTGAGGTGATACACCAGAAGGGGGTCTCGGGGAAAGGTCATGGAAGGGACACATCAAGAACCCGCGGGTAGGTTCTAGAAAGGGGGCGTGGCCAGGGGCAGAGCCAGGCCACGTGACAGTATAAGAGGGGCCCCTGGAGGGGACCTCGTGGCTGTCGTTTGCAGTGGGATCCCCGTCGTGCTGCTGAAGTCTTCACCGTCCTTATCGTCTCCATCTTCAACATCTCAGCGTCGCCAGTCAGGCGGTCTACCAACTATCCTGACTGGGAACCGTAGTCGACTATAGACGGATTTATATCAAGTGTTAACTGTTAGGCCGTGTTAATAAACAGAGTGCCTCCTATTCTTAGTGTCTCTGAGTCAGTCACTACATTTGTAATGGAGGGTAGCTACCACTAAAAATGTTGATTCTTCGACATTGATAACATCAGTGGGAATGAATTAATAATCGCTTCTGTGTCTCCTCGCCATCAACATCCTGCACTGCTCCGTTTATTTAAAGTATCGGTCAAACAATGCACATAGCTTGAGCAAGCCCTCATCCAGCCATGGATTCACTGATGGCTGTAGCATTACTGTGGTTCGATTATGTAATGCCCCTCTATCTGAATATCTCCTTAATTTCCTCCCGTGAACTCAAGATCAGCAATGATGTCGAATGACCTCCCTTTGTCTATGCCTGGCTTTTACTGTGCCTGCAGTTCACTTGCTGAAGTCTCACTCACACACTTCATTGCTCATTATCGTTCTTTATATTTCATATTCAATCATTCAAATGATATCCAGTTTAGCTAGTCACTGTCACGTTTTGAGAACTTGAGAATTTGTGGATTGGATCGATAATCCAGTTTGAATTCGAAAGAGGTCACGTGACTAACGCTACGATTTTTTTGCACGAAGGTAACACAAACCGTGAATTGTTCATGAAGTTCGTGGAATCTCGCAATTGACTAAAAGAAAAAAAGCTGTTTTTTTCTGCTGGAAATGCAGATCTACATTTGACATGTGGCGGATCTGACACCAGGTGGCCCACGTTTTGATTGGTTTTAACCAAATCATATCCAAATAAGAATCGGCATTAGAATCTTCATTTATTCTGGAGGAATCCGATGAGCTACCAAGCTCGTTTTCACAAACATAGCCTGTGTCATGACACAATCTGTCAAAATCTGATCTCATCAGACCCAAACCAAATACTGTTAATGCATGGAGCACGATTTTACATATATGTAATGTAAACTGCAAATGTGTTTCTCGTGATCTTACCGGTGTTGCAGAGTTTGCAGAAGTTACAGGAATGAAGAGTGTTGAAGTCTGGGTTGAATCTGCCCTGAGGGCAAGGGCGCACAGACAGTGGGAGCGTTCGCGTCACACCAGGACACCCTGTGATGACCTGTCAAAGACAGATCACCCCCCCCCCCCGTATGTTTAATAACAGGCTAGTGGGTCATGTGATGTAAGCGAGCTCCTATTCAGGCCGGCTTGGCACCACGAGGAGGTGGTGTGGCATGCACCACGTGGCATGAAGACGTTTGTCTCTCCAGTGCTGATGTTTTCAAAACCGCACGAACTCTCTCTCCTGAAACCCTCTCGTGGCCAGCAGTCCTAGACACTCGCAACCAGCTCATGCACACAATGCCATCATGCGCAATAATAGAAAATGGTGAAGGGTGAAAAAGGCGCTGCAGCCAACACCGCCCGCTCACCTGGACGACACCTGTCACAGCAGAGTCCATTCCGCTCGTACTGAGTAGACAGGTTGCAGGCGTGTGGCACCTTAGCAGCGTCGCTCAGCATGGTCACCACCTGACATCCACCACAGGCAAAAACCAGCAAACGCATCAATCACTTATTCAGCAGCAGTAGCCAGGACCTAGAGACTGTGGCACAATAATAACATTGCCCAAGTTTTAGCCATCTCTCATGGTTTTGCGATGCAACAATCCATCTTTAACTGCCACAGGAGTTGATGTCATGGCTCCAACTCATCGGCCATCGTCTCCCCTCACGCCGCGCCCTGCTCACCCCTATGCACTGTTATTGACAACCTCTCGCCTGGCGCGTGTTCTCTGATCCGTCTGATCGTCTTTCTGTTTATCGGTGTAATTCAAAGAATGCGTCTCTCCATCATTGTATAACTTTTCATAGTTTGCTCGAGTTGTCAACGTCCATGATTCTCATTCGATTTGTCATGCCAGGTAATTGTACGGTGTACGTGACGAATTGTGCTGATGATGTAAAACAATGGAGCCATGCACTATCTACTGGTCGGTGCTGCGGGTCTGCTCCTAAGCAGGACTGCTTACCAGAAGGAGAAAGTAAGTGTTCCCTTCGCTTCAACTTGCAATGAGGCAAATCCCAGCACTGGATCAGGATGATCTTCGGTTGCCATTGTTTGCCTTTCGCAAGCGTATGATTCACGCTAAACATGAACACAACAAACACAACAATGACCACTGCAGCAGCAGTAGTAACAAAGAGTTCAAGGTGCAGCCCTGCAATTACTCGCTCACGCCATAGCTGGACGATGGGCCTATAGAGCCCCCTGTAGAGGGCGTTGTGGCCGACTCTCTCGCGCTCTTCACGTTGGCCAGGCGTCTTGACAAAGGTGCGAGTACCCTAATTTTACCTCGCCAGACACAACTTGACGATGGACCGTGGTTTACCCGATTATCCTGCTGGGTGAGTACAGGCGGGGCATTTAAGAAATGCGCAGAGGTAAAAAAATAAAACACTTTACCAGGCGAGAACGCACCGATACATGGCACAACAAATGAGATAAACACAACACGCGACGGCTTACGGGGATGTCCTTACATCCCAATTAGTCCCTCCATGTTCCTCTGATTTTCGTGTCTGAGATTTTTGCAACTCTTTGATACATTTTCTTGTTTTTAATCGGGCAAATACCTGAGAGGAACACTGTTATATTGGGTCAACTTTAATCAACGTTGTGAGCGTTTGAGTGAATAAAGCTATTTTGGGTTGATGGAATTTACTTCGTATGGACCTTGTTACCTGTATATGTGTATTAGTTAATTCCAGGTGATACGTTTGACTTTCACGTGTGCGGTTTATCTCCCTTGATTTTTGAACAAAGAATGTCCTGTGGTACATGCGTGGCACTGATGAATATTCCTTGTGTTTTGGACACTTATTATAATCCCCGAACCCACCTGCTCGCTCATGCGCGACGACTGTCACGTATGTGACGTGCTTGGGAGATCACTGAACACTGCTCCTCTTTGATTATCGCAGTCGGCCGTTCAAGCACACAACTCAAAGTAGAGTTGAATCTAACTCAAATCCATATGGATCGTGTTACTGTCTCATGTATGTACTGTGAATTAACTTGAAATTTGTTCCTCACTTTTAACGCAATTGACTGAATAAAAAAATTGTGATGTCAGATGGTGATTAATAGGCCTAGGGTACTTGATAGCAGAGGTGTGGACTCGAGTCATGTGACTTGGACTCGAGTCAGACTCGAGTCATGAATTTGATGACTTCAGACTCAACTTGGACTTGCATAACAATGACTTTGTCCCACCTCTGAGGTGTGGACTCGAGTCATGTGACTTGGACTCGAGTCAGACTCGAGTCATGAATTTGATGACTTCAGACTCGACTTGGACTTGCATAACAATGACTTTGTCCCACCTCTGCTTGATAGTGCAAGTCGCCTTAATCCTACGCGGCAGCTAATCCGATGACACCAATTCATGTATGCAATGCCTTAGTAATAACATGCGCTCCTTGTTTTAGCGCGAGATAATATCTGGAGTAAACTGCGTTGTGCCTTCTTTACTCGTATTTCCTGTTTGTGAAATGTTATCATAAAATACAAGCGTGCAGTTAGACAAGGCAAAGGTGTATCTTGTATAGACACAGTAAACACACGGATTCCAGGTGGGTTCGGTGTGATGTCACCTCTGCCCTCAATTTAAATTTACCGAGGAATTTCAGCAGTGACATCAGCTTCAGTGTAGGGGGAGTCCGGTGGGCAGGATGTGCGCTGCTGCCCGCGTTTACATTACCTGGGGACAGAGGTCACGGGGTCCACCTGGGGCTCCTGCCTCTCCCTTCCCAACTCGGCCATGGCCTCTCTTTCTCGTCGCCGTCTCGCCAACACCACCGTCACGTTCTCGTGCCGGGCTGCATCCAAGAGGCCGATGAGTGGGGTTGGTGATTATTTAACTGCAGGTCGGGATACGCGGTTCTGTCCCGATCTCCTGCGTTCAAGAACGTCCTTGAATCGTCATCTAACGTGGGAGATGGCAGCTTTAGCAGGTTATACATTTCCTTCATCAATTCAGGCCAGATGAGCCTCACCTCTCGAGGTATATCTCAACAGCAACGCGGCTGAATAATGCCAAAGGTGGTGCTCTGGCTACAACGATAAATACTATTTATTAAAATGTTACTAACGATGACAAAGTATACATTGGTTGTGCTGTAAATAAAGGAAGGGTATTCTTAGTTTTTTTCGGTAAAGTCACGTAGGTAAAAACATTAAAAAGTAAAATAAAATAAAAATCACGACGTTTCGGAGGCAACACAAGCTTCCGTCTTCAGGTGGTACCGTCACAGCCACGACAGCTGTATCAAGTAAATGAGAGATTGCAGGAGTTACCACTGCAGTTTATATAATGGTTGGAGAAGGTGGCCCCACCACCTTCCCCACCGATAACGGCTGAAGCCACGGGCTTGTGGCTACGGGGGTCGCCAGCTTAATGATTTAGAAGTTAATAGAGAGAAGGATAAATACGGGAGCGTGTGAGAGAGGAGTTGAGTTGGTCAGAGTGAAGACAAAAAGAGAAGTCCCAAGCCCCGCTCGCCTCGCCCGCTCCAGTGGTGATGGCTTAACCACCACTTGGGGGCAAGGGCGAGGTTGGAGAGACGAGGATAGAGTAGGCTAGCAGTAGAGAGGCTAGGAGAGTGAGAGAGCAAGCCAGCAGTTGAGAAGCTAGGAGAGAGAGAGCAAGCCAGCAGTTGAGAGGCTAGGAGACTTTTGACTTTTAAACAACTTTTATTGCCGCCAGCAGCAAAAGCACTGGAGGCGATTTCAATATTAAACACAGTCACCAGCAAACAAATAAAAAATAAACGCTCCAAATCGACGCGCTGTGGCGCTAAAAGCACCGCGCACAATACAAAAGAAAAGTCACGTGGTTGTGGTGTCATCGCGCACGCCACGGTGACGAGCGAGCGCTTCAGAAGGTGAACATGAGGGTGCCGTCCACGCTGGTACAGAGGGAGGCTAGGAGAGAGCGAGAGAGAGCAAGCCAGCAGTTGAGAGGCTAGGAGAGCGAGAGAGCAAGCCAGCAGTTGAGAGGCTAGGAGAGCGAGAGAGCAAGCCAGCAATAGAGAGGCTAGGAGAGCGAGAGAGCAAGCCAGTAGTTGAGAGGCTACGAGAGCGAGAGAGCAAGCCAGCAGTAGAGAGGCTAGGAGAGCGAGAGAGCAAGCCAGCAATAGAGAGGCTAGGAGAGCGAGAGAGCAAGCCAGTAGTTGAGAGGCTACGAGAGCGAGAGAGCAAGCCAGCAGTAGAGAGGCTAGGAGAGCGAGAGAGCAAGCCAGCAGTAGAGAGGCTAGGAGAGCGAGAGAGCAAGCCAGTAGTTGAGAGGCTACGAGAGCGAGAGAGCAAGCCAGCAGTAGAGAGGCTAGGAGAGCGAGAGAGCAAGCCAGCAATAGAGAGGCTAGGAGAGCGAGAGAGCAAGCCAGCAGTAGAGAGGCTAGGGGAGCGAGAGAGCAAGCCAGCAGTAGAGAGGCTAGGAGAGAGCGAGAGCAAGCCAGCAGTAGAGAGGCTAGGAGAGAGCGAGAGCAAGCCAGCAGTAGAGAGGCTAGGAGAGAGCGAGAGCAAGCCAGCAGTAGAGAGGCTAGGAGAGAGCGAGAGAGCAAGCCAGCAGTAGAGAGGCTAGGAGAGCGAGAGAGCAAGCCAGCAGTAGAGAGGCTAGGAGAGCGAGAGAGCAAGCCAGCAGTAGAGAGGCTAGGAGAGAGCGAGAGAGCAAGCCAGCAGTAGAGAGGCTAGGAGAGCGAGAGAGCAAGCCAGCAGTAGAGAGGCTAGGAGAGCGAGAGAGCAAGCCAGCAGTAGAGAGGCTAGGAGAGCGAGAGAGCAAGCCAGCAGTAGAGAGGCTAGGAGAGCGAGAGAGCAAGCCAGCCGTAGAGAGGCTAGGAGAGCGAGAGAGCAAGCCAGCAGTAGAGAGGCTAGGAGAGAGCGAGAGCAAGCCAGCAGTAGAGAGGCTAGGAGAGAGCGAGAGCAAGCCAGCAGTTGAGAGGCTAGGAGAGAGCGAGAGAGCAAGCCAGCAGTAGAGAGGCTAGGAGAGCGAGAGAGCAAGCCAACAGTAGAGAGGCTAGGAGAGCGAGAGAGCAAGCCAGCAGTAGAGAGGCTAGGAGAGAGCGAGAGCAAGCCAGCAGTAGAGAGGCTAGGAGAGAGCGAGAGAGCAAGCCAGCAGTAGAGAGGCTAGGAGAGCGAGAGAGCAAGCCAGCAGTAGAGAGGCTAGGAGAGCGAGAGAGCAAGCCAGCAGTAGAGAGGCTAGGAGAGCGAGAGAGCAAGCCAGCAGTAGAGAGGCTAGGAGAGCGAGAGAGCAAGCCAGCAGTAGAGAGGCTAGGAGAGCGAGAGCAAGCCAGCAGTAGAGAGGCTAGGAGAGCGAGAGAGCAAGCCAGCAGTAGAGAGGCTAGGAGAGAGCGAGAGCAAGCCAGCAGTTGAGAGGCTAGGAGAGCGAGAGAGCAAGCCAGCAGTAGAGAGGCTAGGAGAGCGAGAGCAAGCCAGCAGTAGAGAGGCTAGGAGAGCGAGAGAGCAAGCCAGCAGTAGAGAGGCTAGGAGAGCGAGAGCGGAGTGAGCGAAGCGAAACAGGCGAGCAGCGCAAGAGAGAGCGGAGCGAGCGGGGCGAGCGGCGCAGGCAGCAGGAAAGTTGCGACGGAGCTACGTGGTGTTGAACGCGAAGAGTTTGTTCAAATAAAGTGACACCACAAAGAAGTTGTCCACGTGACATAACAACACGACATATGTAATAAACCAAGCAGAAAATATGGGCAAGTGGGTGGGGGTGGGTCTTATAAACAATTATGATCGACTTGGGGGAGCCTTGTCTTGCTACTAACATGGGCAGGCTATGGTCGCGTGTTTACATTGGATCGAGTGTTTTGACGTGGCCAGGTCCTTCCACTGACCGAGAAGAACCCCCAGGAGCCCCCACCGCGTCACGCTGGGGCGCGGCTCCTCGTGATGTGGATCGCGTGAGGAGCACGTGAGGAAAGGGGTTAACGCATTCTTCTCCGGGGTTACTCCCGAACACAGGAAGTTGGGGCAAGCAACGTGTTGTGAAGCACCCCAACCATCGATACCATCAACTAGCAAGCCATAACTTTTAGACGATTCATCGATTTGTTCGGACCTTTTATCCAGGTTCTAATGTTCATGTAAGTACGTTATTATTTTTGTTATTGTCTTTGAACTAAATAATACGTTACCTTTCATTGCTCGTTAATAATCAGGTAGTTTGAATTAAGAAGGACCCTATTCTTATATTTTGTTACTTGCAAAGGAGGTCTAATGATGTAATTTGAATGACATTCTCCAATCTGCAAATTACTCACCCCCGCCTCGCCATCCTCCACCCCCCTCCCCCGTCCACCACACTACCCCTATCCCCTTCCACAAGGTATTGGCGTGATCGAATCATTCTAATTGATTAATTATAACCGGTTATAGGTAATCGATCAATCCCATCGATTACCATAAAGCAATGCCTCAGTAATCCGAATCGGAATATGTATTTATACTGGAGAAATCCGATGAGCTATAAAGCTCTTTTTCATAAATGTCCAGTCAAGGCGGGTCAGAACGTTGTAATAACAAACAATGAAAAAAACACGAAAGGAGTCCATAGTATAGCAAACGTAAACACATCTCTTAACAGATATATACTAATAAAAGTAAAAGATGTTTATCTTACCAAGTAATGCCTCCTCGATTATGTGGCTCTTTTTCAGGAGAGCTACGTTGTCAGGGGAGGGCTCTCCAGCAAAAATCGATATTTGTATTGTACTACGCTCCAATATCTATGCTGCCAGCCTTCACCAACCGGCACTGACCATAGTGGTGAAGTATGGTCAAATAAGTCATCCAGCAGTAGATTTACAAAGGGCTCTACAGTGTGAATGTTGGCTTACCTTTGTGATTGTGTGACAGTCTCGAACTCAACTCCCAAGTCGCCGTCTATTTCATCTATGAATTTTGCCCTTTAAAGTGGTGAGTCATAACAGCCGCCCCCAGAGCTGCGATTGGTTCTGATAAATGGCGTGACTCAGTCACCGCCCCGTGTTGGGGGAATTTTCACGTTGAAGTAAAAAACAATCTCAACACGAGTCTTGCGTGACTTGCAACCGTCACTTCAACAAAATAGATGTCATAGTTAGGCTCTCTGTTTACATATTTGTGTTCTGACCAAAACATCCTTGCTTGACACGAGCTCTTCGTGACTCGTGCTCCTGAGTTTCTTGTCTCCAGGTCAGTGACCCCCGGTGACCTCTGTTCGTTTGTTGGCGGACCGCCTGGACTCCCTCACTACACCGCTCCATTGGGATAGGTTCGCATCTGCAGCATGAGTGCCGATTTAAACAGCGGTGCGTGGGCGAGGTGGTTGTTCAACGAATACCAATACATCACTTAATTAATGACATTTCCCCTGCATATTCCCTTGAGATGGATCATCTCGTTTGCAAGGTTATCAAGTAATACATAAGCAAAATACGTAATTGAATATAAGCAACCACCTTAACACCTACAACGTGTAGAATATGTGTGTACACTGTTAGGTACAATTACACAGGGTGAAGAGGAACAAGACGGCCAAAGCAGCTCGCATGGACACCGTAGCACGATCGAACACCGATGTGTTGTGCTAGACGTAACAGTCCCAAATGTGCATTTGGGATTAGTTGTGACCAAGCGAATTTGGATTTGTTGTGCATACAGGACGGCATTCCATCGTGCGTTTGCAGTGCAATACAAATACATGAATATATATACAAAGCACCAAATTGGCCGAAGTTGGACTGCTGATGTCATCTGGGATGTATCGCCCATTTCTTACCCACTGGAGGACAATAACACGCGACAAAGTCAAGCTGATTGATGATCCCACACTCACTGATTCACTTCAGTCACTCAATGGTTGTCACTCGCCTCCTTATTACTCATCGCTACGACCGTGGTTGCTGATGCTACAACGAACTTAACTCGTTGATTTCTTCACAATGGATGTTCCAAACTTGGTCCGCCAGACTGATTCGTCTCATCCCAGCTGTGGTCAACCATCACACTTCAGGTGCGAACTATTCTCTGTTTGCTGCTTTTTTCATAATGATCGAATTTAGAATTTGCTCTCATCGTTTTGTTTTCCCAAAGCGTGTGTAACTTGTAAATAGTGCTGTTTGTTGCTTCCGCATTTTTGAAAAATGTTGGGTGTTACTATAGGTAAAAAATATCGCTTAAATGATGCATTGTTTGAGAAGCCAAGCTGCTTGGGTGTAGCTGACTGCAGGTTACTAGAGGTCAGTCCAGATTCCAGTGTAGAGTATCAAAGAAACACCCCATTTCAGAATCAGTTTTAATATGCAGGCAATATTGAAATTGAAGTGGTTTTGATGGTATTCTTTGCTTATAAGCGATACAGCCAGGTAATGTGATGCCACTTTGCACATAATAATCGGGACAAATGCAGAAGCTCGTGAGCTTGAATAATGATTCATGGATAGGGTTGATGAAAACCATTGTAATGTATATGGAACCCTTTTTGCCAGTATCATAATGAAAAAAATAGGCTTTACTCTTTCCGTTAATATAATAGGTGTTAGGATATTCATACACCAAAAATACCTCATGATGCCTTGCAATTTGTCAATTGGTGTTTACACATCTTAGCACCTCATGTATTATTGCTATTCTTTTTTCCAACATTGTGATGTGTTTAATTAGACCGTATGGTTTCCACTATTTTCCCGTTCTCTTAAGACAGAAGTGTACATTTCATCGCATTTTGTGAACCATGAATACTCTATACCAGGGGTCGGCAACCACAATAACAACAAGAGTCATTCTTTTCGAAATCAAAACTGCTCAATATTTCAAGAGCCGAAATGCTCGTAATAAATACGAGATGGTGTTCCTTAATAAATGACATCACGGAGCAGTCCTTGAAGAGCTGCAGGCTGCCGAGCGCTGCCCCACACGGAGAAACGCGTGAGCCACTAAACCGGAGTGAGGATACTCGAACTCGGTCTACGAACCCACCAACCTGGACTAGCAATCCCGATACATCGTGATCACATGATGAGATTTGGCAAGCCATTTGAATTAATTAAAAACCCTATTTTGTACGTAAATAATGGAAATATAAACACGTAATTTTAGCCTACTCGCCTTCATCAGTGGTTTGTTATGATTTAGAGTGTTTTTTCAACGGTTTTACTTAACTTGATTCCTCTGTTGGTCTGGGTCAATTCTTGTAATCAAAATTTCATCCACTTCCCGTTGTCCAATCAATTCCACATTTTGCACACGTACTCAGATCCGGTGACAATGCATACTTGAATCAAAATCGTCATCAATTAATACATTAATTCGCTACTTTAAAGCAATTAACATTTTGTATGGACGCCTTATTTATTTATATTTGTGTCGGTCAAAAACCCCGCGGTCCCTAAACTGTCGAAACACAGGCGCCGCGTGTCTCAGGTGCCATTGACGCACTTCTCGACCGTGAGTCAAGGCCGTAATTATAATATACATTGAGGGGGGACACATCCCCCCCCCCAATAATCAAATATGCTCAAAATGTCCCCCCAATATATTGCTATAATTTTTTTTTTTATAATTGCGATGCTATGTAAATAAAAACAACAATTTGCTAAACCTTGACCACAAAATCTGGACTTTTCTTCATATAACAATGCATAGATTTATGTTTATATGATTGTGGTTATGGTTGTACTTTATGAATCCCTAATCTCTGCAATTACATACAATGAAAGAAGAAAAGGTAAAAAAAAACAGCAATGTAATACAATGCACTATTAGACATTATTGTAAAAAAAGTCCATCTCATGTGCTAGTGAATTTTTTAATATTTTAGGCAGGAAATGAGTTTTCAAATTTAGATATTTTTTTCTGGGGGGGGGGGACCCCAGACCCCCTGAAAGATTTGGTCCCCCCCAATGCTGACTCCATGGCTACGGCCTTGTCGTGAGTTAAATGAAGTTGTTAATAAAACCGTTGTTTTTACAAAACTTTTTTAAACGAGTTTATTTTATTTCACAATGCCGCTCTATGACCGGCAGTAACCTCCCTACATCAAACTTGTGTATCTCCACGCCCACTCAACCTGTGGTCTGCCTTGTCACCCAATACCTGTATTGCATGCGGTACCTGAAGTAAGCACAAGAGGTATTACACGCAATACTTGCGAAGTATTGCGTCATTCCATTGCAGTGTGATACCCAATAGTTATATCACAATGGAGTTGAGTTATGCAATACCTCACTGTGTATTGAATCTTCCACAATCACATGACTACGCTCTCCTCGTAATCACTCATCTCTTTTCGATTTAAAGCTTTCGTGACTGCAGGGATTCATCTTCTTGGTTCTTTCGGTAAAGTCACGTAGAAGGGACGTAATAAAATAATAAAAATAAAACATAATAAAACAATTCTCACGACGTTTCGGCCACAACGCAAGCAGCCGTCCTCAGACCTAGTTTTCACCTGAGGACGGCTGCTTGCGTTCTGGCCGAAACGTCGTGAGAATTGTTTTATTATGTTTTATTTTTATTATTTTATTACTTCCCTTCTACGTGACTTTACCGAAAGAACCAAGAAGAACACTCTCATCTCCTCACGTCAAATGTGATGGCCACTGAGAATCATGAAAGGAACCCATTCAGGTGCTCTGAGATTAAATGAAAAGGCACCATTTGATTCACAAGTATATTTGTGTTTCCCTGTAATGTGTGTGTATATATTGTGTAGTGGCTGTACCGCAAGCAACATTCACTACTCGAGAATAATCGATCAACACACTTACAATTCAATGAATCTACCGTCATCACAATATTTGTTTTAATTGATTAATTGATGCATATGAAAAGGAGACTTGGGCTGGTCTATTTAAAGTTCTGTATTTCTTTGTCACTGCTAATACACCACAGCAACACTCATTACCGAAATCAACCCGTTCCTTCATTCAACAGTCCCTTTTAAACCTCCTCTCCGCCCTTCACCAATCACCCTTCTCCGATTTCCCGCTGTTCCACGATCCGCACCAATCCAATCGGAGTGGTCATCCACCCACCCATCACATTGCGCGTCGTGCACGTCAGTGCTCACACCCCCATCTCTATTCCCCACCTGTGTGCCGCGTGTGCGTGACGTGAGTGACCCCTGACCTCTGACCCTTCCCTGGTGCATCCCCCGTGTGCGTGATTGATGTGTGCGGCGCGTGTGATGCCGGGTGCGGAAGGTATTGTGTTGTTTGTATGGTGCTAGTGTGTGAGGATGGGCGATACATCCTCTACATATACAGTCGGCAGTCCAGGGCTGATCCGGCAAAACCGGCATGTAATCTGTCAATTTCCGGAAAGCTGCTCCAAAGTTTGCACCAGTCTGGTGATTGGCACCATGTGTGTGACGGAAAAAGTAGATATGCTTGATTTTAGTGTCAAATATTATATACAGTACATCAGAGGTGGGACAAAGTCATTGTCATGCAAGTCCAAGTCGAGTCTGAAGTCATCAAATTCATGACTCGAGTCTGACTCGAGTCCAAGTCACATGACTCGAGTCCACACCTCAGAGGTGGGACAAAGTCATTGTCATGCAAGTCCAAGTCGAGTCTGAAGTCATCAAATTCATGACTCGAGTCTGACTCGAGTCCAAGTCACATGACTCGAGTCCACACCTCTGCAGTACATTATACACTACATATACCAACTTAATGAAAATACTGCATGTATATTCATGTTTAATGAGTAATAACTAAAAATAGAAATATATACACAGCACAATACGGCGTGAATCCTTCTAGGGGGGGGGGGGCAGGTCGGCTAAATAGACAACAACAACAATAAAAATATTAAAGTTCAGAGACGATGAATAGGAATTCTGTGT